GCCAGCAACGTGGCCTTAAATAGGGAAAACCCTAAAGAGTCCACCCTCCCCCCAAAAAAACCCCACCTCTTTCTTACTAATAAATGAATACAACAAAGTTGCAGGATACAAAATCAATACACAAATGTCTATAGCAGTTCTACACACTAACAACAAAAAGAAATCAAAAGAACAGTCCTGGGGCTGCAGAGACAGCTCAGGGGCATAAGCGCCTGCCTAGCAAGTACAAGGTTCTGAGTTCGATCTCAGGTACCACAAAAAAAGGCCAAGAGGTCATTGTGTCATTAGTCCCTATGTCACTTAAGGCAAATAGATTCACTTTTCTGAGTTTTGTTGACTTGATCTTCTTAGTTAAATACTGACATTGTAATAGTACCTCCTCATATAAATATTGGAGAAAGCAAGAGGAGAGAGAGAATTCACAGTGTTTACTTAGGCCCTGCCCAGAACACGGCAAGCAGTAGTTATTAGTTATTGTTACGGTTGTGTATTCAATACTGTATGAAGCAATCATGAAGGCGGCAAAAGACCTGAGATAAAGGCAACCTTTGGTACTCACCAACTACCCCTCTGCAGATGCAACCAAGCAGTGACAATATTAGGGGAAAAACCCAAACTGCGTCTGTATTAAATATGTACAGAGGGGCTGAAGAGATAGCTCAGGGGTCTAAAGCACCTGTTTAGGCAAGCTTAGGCGAGTGCAGGGACCAGGGTCTGATCCCTGGCACCACATGCTACACCGGCCCTGCCCATAGGGTGGATTGAGTGGCCACAAAATAAATTAATTAAATTAAATTAAAATATGTACAGAGTTGTTTTGCACTGTTGTTCCCCAAAAATACTGTATAGCAACTAGCTGCTTTTCATATACATTGTATTTGGTAAAAGCAATCTAGAGACTATTCAAATATACAGAAGGATGCCATAGGTTATATGCAAACACCGCACTATTTTATCTGAAGGACTTAGGCATCCAAGAATTTCAGTACCCACAGGGGGTCCTGGACCCAATTCCCAGATATACAAAAGGAAGGTTGTAGTCACTGTCACTGAGGCATGTGTTCTCCAAAATCCCACCCAGACCTGATGTATTACAAGGAGCTTCTCTGTGTAATAAAGAGTGTGGATTTGGGGCTGGTGGTGTAATGCAGTCCCTAGAACGCATGAAGCCCTGGGCTCAATCCAGCATTGCAGCATTGCAAGAGGAAGGGAGGGAAGGATTGGAGGGGTGGGGAAGGGGAAGGGTGGGGGAGGGGAGGGGAGGGGGTACAAGACCTGAGGTAAAGGCAACCTTTGGTACCCACTGATTCCCCCTCTGCAGATGCAAAGGGAAGGGAAGGGAAGGAAAGGGAAGGGAAGGGAAGGGAAGGGAAGGAAAGGAAAGGGAAGGGAGTCTGAACAAGATTTGAGCTTCAACTGTGCTGCTCCCCAGCCCTGGGCTTCTGCCTGCTGCACCCAAGTTCTCTGAGCCTAAGTTTCCCCTTCTGCAAGGTGGAAATAGTAATAGAGACTACTTCAAAGGGCTGTGCTTACTTCAAAAGGCCATGGTGGG